TAAAGATAAAATTCAAAGTATAATAATAATGAGTAAAATTTTTCTTTTCTTTTTCTCTTGGTAATATAGGTCTAATAATGAGAATAGAGTTCTTTTTTATTTGGGATAACACTTGGCTTAAGTGGGATTCAAAGTTAGTGTTCCCTATTACCAAACTGCAAATATTCTCAGGAGGCCCAGGAGCCACAAATTACCAACTTTGCTCTAGAATACTGAGGCAAAAAGAATATCATTTTATAGTCTTTTATTAAATAAACATTTCTCCTTTTTTCATAAAACTGTAAATCTGTGAAGACATACTCAAAGTCAGCAGGATGGTGTAGTACAAAGAACACCAGACTCTGAGTCAAAAACTTCAGTTCCTACTGCCACGCATTGTGTGACTTTGGTGAAATCACTTAACCTTACTCTCCCCTTATCCTTCAGTGCTTTGAGAATAATGCAAATATAAGAGTATTTTAAAGTAATTTGTTTCTCTCATGGACTAAACTGTTGAGAGCTCGTCAGGGTAGGGACTGACTCCTAATCTTTGTATCATCAACTATGAAACGGTGCTTGGTGCAGACAAGAAGTGCCCACTGACGTTTATCAATGTTAAAATTAATACACTAGCAGGGAGGGTATAGCTCAAGTGGTAGAGCGCATGCTTAGCATGCACGAGGTCCCAGGTTCAATCCCCAGGACCTTCTCTAAAAAAAATAATAAATGAATAAACCTAATTCCTTCCCCCTTCAAAAAGAAAAAACAAAAAGAAAAACACACTACCTAGAAGGTCTCATTTTAACAACCAATAATAACTCATTTAAAAACTGCTTTATTTTTTTTTCTCTACACTACATCATTAATTCCTAACTCAGTTATAATCTAACATACTTTTCAGAATGTGTTCAGATTCAGCTATAATACAGTTAAATAAATTAGAAATCATCACTCAGTAATTTTAGATCAATATTCTTTTAAATGTCACCAATATCACTTAACAAAGTTTAGTTACCATTAAATTAGAAAAACATATTATAGACATTGGACTTTAGATTAGGCCCACGTTTACTGACTTGGAATCCAAACATTCCTTTTGCCACAGGCTCCACAAATAAAGAGTTGCATGGTCAAATAAGTGTGGGCAGTAATGCATACTGAATCTCTTTGGAGTTGCAGTGTACATTAGTACATTAAAGGATCTGAGAAGTCCTGTAGTATAATCTCTTCTTTGACCCAGCATTTCCCAAATTTATCTGCCAATGGAATTCTTTTTCACCTAATACTTATTAG